GTTCTCTCTCTCTCTCTCTCTCTCTCTCTCTCTCTCTCTTTATTGTACCCAAATTATTTTTTAAATGATAGCTGTCTTCTCCTCCTGCCACCTCACTGCCGCTGCCTCCTCTCTGGTACATCACTGCTGCCTTCTACACCCCATAGCATCACTGCTGCCTTCTGCACCCCATAGCATCGCTGTCACCTTCTACACCCCATAGCATCACTGCCACCTTCTAGACCCCATAACATCACTGCTGCCACATCCTCCTCCCCCTGGCAGACATCACCACCACCACCAATTCCTCCTCTCTGCTTCCTCCTCTTACATGGAACATGCATGTGATTGTGAAAGAAAGAAGCCACGATATTACATTATCAACAAAGTGGTGTACATCTATAATGATATCTACCAAAAGCAAAAGTACTAAGCAATAGAATAGCACCACTAGAAGAAACCTGAGGGCAAGGCTTGGTAAGTTGTGATCATTTCCTGCGTCAATACTAGCAATTGGTAGGTACAGAGGTCGACCTTCTTTTGATGCTTCCTCCTCAGCGACAATAGTTATCGCATCCAAATAGATAACTATATCAGGTATATGAGCTGGAGACACATTCTACAAAAAAAATTTGCCCTCATAAAATTGACAAACGAAAGTAAAATGAAAACATAAATAATACCTTTATTTGAACACAAAGTACATCCTCCGTATTGCATTCAGCAGCAAAAGAACGGATTTGAAGTGGTTGAATAATTTCAAGCTTTCGGCGCCACCTCCTGCCCGGTAAATATATGCCATCCAAGCCACAATGTGTAGAAAAGCGTTCTGGCTCCAGTGAGACACCTCGAAATGATAAAAGCCTTTCATTTCCTGTATCCTGATTTTTTGTAAGCTTCTCTGATGAAAAGCGATCAAAGTCTTCAGGATCAAAAGCAGGTTTTGAGTTGGAAAATGAAGTCGCAGATGATGGTGGTCCAGTAACTTGAGGAAGTGAAGACATGGAGTAGCTTCTGAAGTGACTGAAAGAAAAAAATTGTGACCCAGAGGCAGGATATGTTGGTTTTTGTGATATACTTGAGCTTAAAGGAGGTGAAAGTGACCGAGGAGGTAATGTTCGATCCAAGGGAAGCAACCAATCAAGCAGTTCCCAATATGGATCATCCTTATTTGGAACCAACAAATTGTTGTGGTTCTCAAAAGCAGAATTACTAGATCGGTATTTTTCAAATTGGATAACCTCAAGAACAGCATCTTTTAAATTACTCACTCCAACATTCACTTCTAAAAGAACCTGCAGCAATCCAATAGACAAAATAAGCATGATACATTGATATAAAACAATACTATTGGCATTTTATTTTGCAACAAATCAGTGAAAAAAATAAAAACATGCAATTGATTGAAACTTTGCCAATCAATGGAGAAGAAGATTCAAACTCTTAAGCGATGAAATTCATGCATTTAAAATTCATTATCAATTTCAAAACAATGTGGTTTTGAGCATTACTTGTCAAGTATTAGAATCAAAAACAAGGTGAAGTCAATTGCCATACAGGATAAGGCGATGTCCTGTAATATCCCTGAATTAAACTTGTAAATTACATAATTTCTTTGATGGAAACAGAAATATATATTACAATAACAATTAAAAGAAATTGTAAAATACGAAGACATAAACGATAGGCAAAGAGTCCCAAGTAATTGAATAATTCACACTTTGATCTCACATGTAAGCAGGTACGAGGTTTATTTTATTAGAAAATAAAAAAATGTCACAAACATACCACTACGTCGCCATTTGACAAAGAGTAGCATCTGACAGTATTTCTAGCCACTCCACCAGATGTAATGCCATCAAAACTACCCTTATCAACTATTGCACTAACAACATTGCACCTTGGAACCTTTTTTGATCCATCATTAGGGTGGCTTTTTCCCCCTACTACCTCAGAGTTCATTGAAGAGTTAACATTTCTTTTGGACCAAAGTTGTTCATCTGCCTCAGCAATTCTGACAAAAAAATTTGAATTTCTAAAACTTTGGAGTATACTCTCAATTTGTTGTTTATGTTGCTCCATATGAAGTAGACTCTCAGTTGCAGAAATATCATTTTGAGGACTCAATACACTTCCAGCAGAAACAGTTTCGATATTGTTTTCCACCTTTTGGCCAGAAGCTTTTTCAGGTGTGCTACTAACAAGTCCATTCAGACCAAGCGGACTAGGCATTTTCCCCAAAGTTTCAATATGTTGCTCCTTATTTGGGCTCGATTTACCATTTTTTGACATAACAGCAGCAACTCTAAATGGAGTTATGACTTCTGACACATGTTTTGATGCTGACAGGCAAACCAGTATCTGAATATGTTCACCTGAAAGTTAAAAAGCTGATCTGATCAGAGACAAAATGGTCTCTCTAAGATGATAAAACAACAATACAGAATAGAAGTAACTACCAGGAAAAATAAACGAACGGTCCAAGGATCTCAGTTGTTGTATATCTGCGGCATCAGCCCAGTTATCTGGAAGCTCCTCTGTAAGTATAAAGAGAAAAAGTAAACCAGATGGACCAAACAATATGGTAGCTTTGAGTATCAGGAACAATATAGCATGTCATAAGCATTGTAATCAGATATACCTGGATTGAACCAAGATTGATAGATGTAAATGTTTAGACTTCTTTAATTAACTGTACAGTTATTCAAGCTGAAAGGGAAACAGACGATATGTCTGAAAGCAAATATCCAATATAATTCAATAATTCCTATCTGAGAAAATCATATGAGCCAACTATCGTTAGTCTTTTATGTACACAAATACCAATTCATGTCTTAATTTTAGAAGTAATATATGATGAACTTATTATGAAGTAGTAAAAAACTATGTTTCTTCAATCAGATGGCCTTCATTATCTTCCTCCTCTCTTACAAATTTTTTTCAAGTTTCTAATTGACTTCTTCGTAGCATCCACTCTGGTAAATTTCACTCCATCTTTCATCTTAGGTTATCTAAACAATAGAAACATACAGGTACACAAACACATAACTAAGAGTCATTTCTGAATCACTACAAGAGACATCAATTTCATGGAAGCCCAGAAAGCAGTCTAATATTTACTTGAGTATGCATCATTTACAATAAATCAAAACCAAACAAGGAGTATGTTTTTTGATCTTATATGAAATATCATCGGTTCTTCTATAAACAAGAACAATATCAGATGGCATGTAGGCAAATCAACAACAAAATGACTGAGCATATCTAATGGAAACTTATAACCAAATTGAGCATGAAGGTTTTTAAACTCAAAACTGCAATCAGGGTAACATCCTGAACCTGTTTTAGCATTTTTCCTATTCCTATTCCAGAACTTGTGAATCATTGTCATAGGAAATTGAGGCAGCAAATACTAAGAAAAACAATCAGGAAGACTCTCAAGATTCACAATTAAGATTTACATTACATATAATCAGGCCAGTTCATTCCACAACATTTAAGTCAACACTCTTACTTATCCATGTTCCAGGGACATCTCAGCAAATTGAGATGAAATAATGGCTCTTAAAATGACTCAAAAAGTGATGAGATGTGCAAGTAGACATACTATATGGAATTGTTATCCATCCATCATCGTCTGAAACATCAGTATGGTTTCCAACAGGAAACTGATTTTTGGAAGTTGAACCTGGTGCTGAGCTACCTACAAATCCAACTTGTTCACTGTCTGTTAGAGCATCATTTCCTATAGAATGATTTGAAAATGTCTCTTCTGCAATAAGGCCCTCCAAAGTAGCAGCTGGTTTTGGAATAGGTCTCACAGCCTTTTGATGTTCAGGCTCCACAACAGTGGATACCTCAGGAACTACAGGTTGAGCAGTACGGATAAGAAAATTCATTGCTATGTCCAAAGTTCCTGCAAGATAAGATAAGAACTAGATGTCACCATATACTTCTCTTCCCATATGCAATGAGATTCTAGGGCACCTTAACCATAGCAAGAATCAATGTACCATGAGAAATAGGAAAAGACAGAATCAAAGCTTTAAAAATACCATGAAGTTCTTGCATAGAATTTGGGGAAAAAAACACATGTATCACTCTAAAAGAAAATTTTGTGTTAAAAAAGAGTGTTGAAGGATGCACATCAACAAGGCAACATAAGTTGCTTACAACATAATAAAATGAAAAATGGAAATGCATGAGTATAGAATTCAGTAGCAGAGGCACAGCTTTGAGTTTATCTTACAGAAAGAAAAGAAAACGGAGCCAAGTAGCGTGTCAAAATCAGTTATAAATTCAAACGAAGCTGTGTCCAGATCAACGATTGTATTTGTACTAAAGTTTCCAAGCCCATTGTTGATAAATTAGTCACCTAGACATGCCTAGAAGGTTGTAGTTATGTATAAAGCCAAGCTTAATCATTTATCTGGTCTTGAAATAAATTTTATGTCCGAAAGGGCTGAACTAGATTACTTCCCTATATATACCAGAAAGGCAAGAACATTAGAGTTCAAGAATAAAGCTTAATTTAAGGAAGTGATCTGAGTACTTGAACAATGAACTCTTTATTAGTCTGCCTACTGCTAATGCCTTATCAATATGATACCTACGGAGGAAGACAACAAGAATGAAGAGCACATTTAGGAATTCGGCAACGTCTGATTGTTTTAAAATCGCTAAACTTAGCAAGCACCACTTCAAACAGACCAAAGACCCTAAGAATAAAGATTCCTCGAAAGAACAAGAAACTCAATCGCCTGGGTTACAATCGATCTCTTCCCTTTCGTTGCTATCCCATCTAAGTTGCCAGAAAGAAGCCAAATCAAACAACAGAACTGAGGTCTGCGGCCGGGGACCAAAAAAAGCAATGAAATCAAAAACTGAACAAATCTGACTTCCACCTAGAATTCTCACGGATTTAGTAAGATAAATGAGACAATCCGAACCTGCTGCCGTCGACGAAGGGAGATCTTAGTCGAAAGCACAACGAAGATGAGATCTGAGTGAGAGAGGAGGAGAGGTTAGGGATGATTGGGTTCTCCTTGGTCCGGACTCGCCGAGGACCAGAAGAGGCCGATCTTAGGCAAAAGTATTGTTTCCGTTACCCATCCTTTGCCTGCTCTATGGTTGGTGAAACAGCGGTCCCAGGTGGGCCATAGTCAATTTTTCCAATCCAAGATGAAGGTTAACGAGTGGGTGTATCAAAGTGAGTAGAAAAAGTCGTCACTGGTTCAACGATATTTATACACTTACTGGTCCACGTCACGTGCTTTGCGCGTGATAAGTTAAAGGATACGAACTTGGGTTTCCACCGCGCAGGATGTCATTCCCACGCACGATGACCGGTGGCGGCGTCTTCATAAAATGTCCTCAAACATATGAAACCATGTAGATTTGGGTTTCTCTTGGTTAAGAGAACAAATGTAATTTTTCAACCATATTGCTAACTAAAATGTAGTCCATATTGTCGGTAGCCGAATCACAAAGAATATTCACATCCTTATTGTTCTTTTCTTACTTTACAAAGTTTGCAATAAAATCCTTCACGTTTGCGGATGTAATGAATTCATCGGAAGGTGGACTTGAGAGGGGATCAGCGATGTGCCACCATAAGGTGTTCGACGAAAGGGAAATAGACCATCCATTTTGAATGATCCCAGAGCTGATGCCTGCAAGAGATGATAATAAAGAAAAGAAGTATGTCTTAGTAATGACTTCAGATGCAAATGATGATACCACAGCTCTTAACATTAAAAGGCAGCCTCAACAACAAAATTATTCTACCCTGCTTCATGTTCCGGATAAAACCATGACAACCCCCAGCAAGCATTTCAATAAACAAAAAGCAATGATTTATATAGATTCCTTAAAAGGAAGAATTCACATCTACTGTGACAAATTCCAAATAGGAACGCATCCAGATTCACAACAATTCAGCTTCAGCTGAAGAGGAACTCCGAGTGAGTCACTCGATGTTCTTGGAGTGTGCTGATTGTAATTTTCAACTGCCTCCAAATGGTAAATCCCTACAAATAAACATCTGAGTTAGAATATATTATGAGTACCAGTTTCTGATGTTGAAAGCTACGATAAATTGTAGGGACTATATATAATTCTTGGGTTGTGTGTGTGGTTGATATTATTGCAGTCATAAAGCAGAGATTTCTTACATAAATCAAGTTGAAAGACCTTGATTCTTGACCAAACAGGCTAAAGAACATGATGCATCCATGAAGTTGATCTATGGCAAAGAAATTTTAAAAGCATTAGCATTAAACTTGTGAGTAGCACTGTGGAGGATTTTTTTTTTTTTTTCAAGAACATCAGTAATCTGTGAGGTGTCATATTCTATGAGGGATCTTTAAGCATAAAAATAGAGAGGACAAAAAGATAAGCAAGTATATATAAGAGTTAATATAACCAAAGTTATTCATTCAAAAAGCATTCTAACTCATAAGCATGTTAGAGCAGCAATCCCTATAGTAGTAAATTCAATTATTTGCCAGTTGCTCTTCATACGCCTCCAAGCAAAGCATTCTTACTTAGGAGTAAAGCAGACACCAAATTGAAGCAAAATGATAGAAATATAAGATAACAGCTTCCCAAGGTTATCCAGCTCACAGTGATAGTAGCACTCGGCAGTCCTTCCATTATAATAAATGAGCTACCACCCAAAATTTTATCAAGTGAACCGAGTTTTGCTTAGCAAAAATCCACGGCAAAATTTATGCATTCCATAACTGACGTACAACTCCAAAAAATAGACAGCCACTTCCAGACTATATAGTCCACAAAAGACCCTTTGAAACATAAAGACTAAATGTTTTGCAGAAGGATTATCGTTGTGTCACGGACAAAATTGTAAATAGTATGTTTAATGTAATACTCATGTATGTTCGTGCCTTTTAGTTTTATTCGTGCTTTGCACAGCATATAGAGGGCTGGCTGTAGGCTTAGCAGTCTCATTTTGGTTGGTTTTAATAGTCATTTTAGGTTTTTAAACGAAGGTTGTGTCACATGGGCACTTGTGGAGATTTCGGTCTGTGATGGGCCATCTTGGACATTTTGTTGTACGACCGTTCAGAGCTTACGAAGTCAATGTTTGTAATTTGTATTGGCTATCATGTGTTTATTGAAATGATTGTTTGTGGATCCCGAGTAAAACGATTCCTCTAACCCATTTTCTCTTTTGTATGTCCTTAAGGGACCATAGGAGGTTTCGGGAAAACTGACCATTTGAGGACGGACACGCAATGGTGCCACGCGACTTAAGCAAAACCAGCTAAGCTCATAATAGTTGAGTCAGATTGAACACTCACACAATGACTTTCTATAAATTCTCAAATGCCACCTATACAATCTAGCACTTATGCAGTCCACTACCCAATTCATCAATTATCCTTGAAGGTATCAGCAAAAATTACTCTGATTCGTGTATTATGAAGGCATTACTCATTACCTCTAGCTTAGATACTATCTCAACCAATGACTCCCTTTGAAGTCAAACAATATCTAACATCTACAAGATCCATAGGTAACTCATCACCCTTGGGTGATAATGAGAAACAAAATTAGCCATGTTTTCTGTGTGACAACAAGCATCGAACACATTCTTGTAGTTCTCCTGCTATCAACCTAACAGGTGATAAAACAACTTGAGAAACCATCAAGACTTAACCATCATGACAGATAAAGATGGAAATGGTATGTGTAAGCAGAGGAGAGGACAAAGGAGAAAGAACCATTTTGGTATTCAAGTACAAAGTTGGGCCTCTTTTTTAAGTCACCTCTATGCAGCCACAAACAATAATGCCATGATGAAATCCCATAATTTCACTAACATGTAGTAAATGTCTGGGAATTAGATAATGCAAAGAACATGAAATTACATCGAGGATAAGAGACGCTTAAATCTTACCATTGAGTCAATTTCTCATACTTAGTAGCAGGATACTAACTAATGCACAGGATTTTGTTCATTATCAGGTGCAAAAACATGACATAGCAATCACCAAAGCACATATATTATGTTTGACATAGTTAATTGGATAAAATAACAATAAACACAGTAAAATCATTTAAAAAACACTGTCAAATTAAATCTTACAGACCATAACGGCAGCAAGTCCCTAAATAGGAAATAAACAAGAAATGAAGAGCCCGATCTTACAAACCTAGCCGTCCGACCTTGCAGAGCTCACACGATGGAGATCTTCGCTCCGATCTCCTCGAGCTGCTTCTTGGCCTCCTCAACCTCCTCCTTTGATACGCCCTCCTTGAACTTCTTCGGGAACCCCTCGATGAGGTCCTTGGCCTCCTTGAGCGCGAGGTTTGTCAGCGCTCTGATGACCTTGATGGTGGCGATCCTGGCGTTGCCCGAAACGTCGTCGAACTCCGTTTTCTCCTCAGTAGCGGCGGGAGCTCCGGCTGCCGCGTCGGTGGCCGTGCCGGGGGCGACGGCGGCGAAGGTGGCAACGGAGACGCTCAGGCGGTCCTGAAGGTGTTCGAGGAGGCTGAGAGCCTCCTCGAGGGTGAGATTGGCGATCAGAGAGCCGAGCTCCTCGATATTGGGGGAAGCTGCAGCGGTGGCGGCCGACGGGGGAAGGGGGACGATGCGGCGAGAGAAGAGGGGGAGGGGCTGGGAGGGGGAGGAAAGGCGGGACGCCGAGGGCCGGGTGGACTAGGTGGAGATGAGGGAGCGGGCGGACGCCATACGGGAGGCGGGTGGCAACGCAAGTTACGGCAATGGAATAGGTAAGCTTCGAGAGTAATGCTATATATATATATAACTTCGAGAGAGCTCAAGTGAGGCTACCAATTGGCACGAAACGAAAAGTCCAAACATGTGGTAATTGGCATAATTGCAAGATTGGATAGCTTAGTTTGTCCTAAAAAAGTAAATAATAGCTGATAATCATCTAATTAAGTGAAAGCTTATGAATAATACAGAGATGCTTTTGCAATTAACGGTTAGGTGAATTGTGAATCTGAATCATGCATGATCACCATCAGTGATGCTTTGATAATTGTTCTGCGTGTATGATGTATTATCTGAACAGATTGAGATTAGGCAACCGTTCATGATGCCGGAGATCCGCTTGTGCAGATCTTAAAGCACAAGGTGCACCACAAAGGATGATGGCAGTCCAAATACTCGGTGTCTTCTGCAACAACGCCCTATATCACACAAGCTCAAAAAAAATGTAGTAAGTACTTTTTTTTTCTTGAAATTAATGGAAAGATAAGAGAACAGTTCGGATGAAAGCATGTAATATTATCAAGGCTCATGTATTCCACAGAATGTGCTATTAAGTTGCTCTACAGGATCAAAATTAGAAAATTCAAACATCCACATCTGTATATATTATCAGAAAAGAAGTCATGCAATATTGGCATTAAGGTCTTCGTGGAAATTTTGAGAAATCTGGGCGTCGGTGGTTCAAGTAAGCTATCTTTCCTTCACTAGCCTCTTCTGTTCCATAGAAAACGAGAGTAGCATTGCCACCTAGCTCCTGCAAAACATATATCACGTCTTATTTGCTGAAGAGCTGAATCGAGTATTAGTCCAAGATAAGAAGTAATCATCATCCCCAATTCGGTGTTTTTATATCATTTTAAGGACATGCAACATTTTTTTCTTATAAGATATTCAATTCATTGGAAGGGAAGATTCTCTAAAATCACAAGACAACACAACAAAATATTCCAATTATTTGAGGGAAGAGAACACCAACTGTTCGATGTTTTAAATTAAATCAAGAATACCTATGCAACCATTGCCGAAGAAACCAATTGTTAGAAAAGTTATCTAATTGCTGAAGAAACCAACATGACAAAACATGTTTTTTAATTTTTGTAAGGTGCATTTTTACGTGTTTACAGAACTATGTCCACATGCTTCACAATTCAGTTCATCTATATTCTTTTTGTGTTTATTTGGACCATTGTAAATACCAGTGAAAAGATAAGAGACCGATTTGTTTTGACTTTTGAGACTGACTCAATGAATCAAAAATATATGCTTGAAAAACTTGATAGCTTATAATTTGTAAAATTAACAAATAATAGCATGGATATGCTATAAGATACCTGGAGACCAGCATGCCCATCATCTACAGCATTAAGGGCAGACTTCAAAACCCGAATTGCCGTTGGGCTGTTTCGTAAGATCTCACGGCACCATTTCAGAGTCTCCAGTTCTAATCTCTCAAGCTGTAGGGTGAGAACATAATTTGTGTTATGTCACAAGTGCAGTTGACTATTATAGAGTTGTAGGATTTCTCTTTAAGCAACTGAATGTAACTTTTTTGTGTCCTTTTAAGGGAGAAGACTAACTAAAACTACACTTACTGGCACAACGATGTTCACAAGTCCCATTTTCTCAGCTTCATAAGCATCATAGAATCTGCATAGAAACCACATCTCACGTGCCTTTTTTGGCCCAATCTAATTAGACATGATAACATCACAACAAATACAGGTGATCAGTTCAAATATCATTTGCCAATTCAAAGAATGCTTCTTTAGTTATGTCTTATATTTAAGTCAAGATATGCCAAAAGAGAATATATTGAAAACAAACTATTTCTTCTTGTTATGATGTAAAAAGGCTTCAGAGAGGAGAATCAATAGAAGGGATTCACCAAATAAATGTAATGATATCTTGATTAGAAAAATATGGGTTTGCATCTCTTCCTCACTCATTCAACTTACCAAGCGGGACATGATGGAGGATCCATAACCAGCATCAAAACTTCCCACCTGTAACAAAAATTGAGAAAGGATGTTAACAAAATGGGATTGGTATTTCGAACAATACAACAAAGAACGTAAAACGGTAGCAGGCAAAACCAACCATGCTCAAGTCATTTGTTTAATAATGCTGACTATAAGCTACTGACAGATGGCTAAGCTGGGAGTTTAAAGCTTTAAGCTCCCAAGACTTTTGTGCATTTGATTCTGGCTGATTACTGTATACTTGAATCCAATATCTGAATGTTTCTGCTCTCTCTAAAATAGAGCTTTGAGAAAAAGCATTTTCATGAACTTGTTTATCTGACCCAGTATAAAATAGCCTTCTCTCACAGTAGTTTATATCATCTATAGTTGCCTCTATCAGGCCTTCCACAACCAGAGCATAGGCATCAAGTTGAAAGACCAAAAATTGAAAATTTCTAGTACTGTCATGAAATCCCCATAACTGGAAAAGCCCATATATTGACAAGCTATGATTGCTCTTAAATTTTGGAAATGAATTAAAATCATCACTAAATTGTAAACCAATGTGCATTATAAGCATAAATATCAGTGGTAACATAAGAAGCCTCAAGATCGAAGATGAAGCTTAGCACCTTTGGACCAGTCTGACCAAAAACTGCATTATCAGCAGCAATAGTTAAATCACAAACCATGTGTAGTATATGTCCCCCACCAACAGCATAACCTGCTACCTTGTTTTAAACAAGATGCACAAATAATTTGTTTTGAGACCTAAGAACAAAGACTAAAAGAACAAAATGGAAATGAATATAATAAACACATACCATTGCTATAACTGGCTTAGGAAGACGGCGTATCTGCACCTGAAAAAGTAAATGGCAAAGAAGAAAGCATATCATGCACCAACAGAGGATGAACGACAACTCTTACATTTGAGCAAAGCCCTCAAGCAAGGCTAAGACCTGAATTTTCCTTGATCATAAACACTAGCATTATGGATCATGAAATAAGTCATTGTAAGAATGGCAGTTCAAAAACCTAATCAGAAGATCAACTTACAGCAACTAAAAGTTCAAGAATCTAAAGAATGTCAATGTTTCAAGCAGCAAAAGAAGTCATTATATGTCAGTCAACCAATGATGTGAAACAAAAAGGAAGAGAGAATGAGAGAGTGAGAAAAGAAGTGAGACATGGGAGGACAAAAGAAATCTCTCTTTATTTCAAGAGATACTAAGAGATAATAGCTCGAAATATAAAAGTTAGTTGAGGTTTCAAAAAAACTAGAATTCCCCACCAATCTTCATTTCTTTCCATTTATAGATCCATCATACATTGAATCACTCAACTACCTAATTAATGAGTCACAATTTACTAAGAGTCAAGCACAAAATATAATACATATTAAATTCATGGTGCATTGTACCTAGTTGATTTTGAATTTTCATAATGAACCATGTTCTTGAAATTTGAGAGGGTTGAGCTCGGAATTTATTGTCTTAGAAGTTGGGAGCATTCAATGCTCACCATGCACCGCATCAACCATGTTGCTGGTCGAACTCTAAAATGCAAATTAGTAGATATAACTTTTAACAGAAGTATAATTTGTATCTAGCTTTTGCCATATGCTAAATGTGTAACAGACCTATAAATGACTAACAAGAGGACAAAGAAAAAAAAGAGAGTTCCTAAGATCCAAAAGCAGAGCACAACAACCAAACCACATAACATCAAACTCATTATGTATTCATTCATGAATATAATATTTAAATTTTGTGAAATACATTTCTTTACATAAGAAATTTCACTGTGGATTATAAATTCGTTTATAACCATCACCAGAAAAAGATCAGGATCAAAACATACATACAGAGGAATCATGGTCTCAAAATATCCGTTATTATTATGATAAACATCTAATCATTGGGACAAAGCAAAAGGTGCACCTGGAGATCCAATACATTTAAACGACCAAAACTTTCAAAATCAGCATATCCATCTGAGCTTCTCAATGCCTGGTCACCACCACTACAAAATGCTTTGTTTCCCTATTTAAAACAAATATAAAATTCTAAGACAAATTTAAAACATAAATATATCTTAAATAAGTTTTCAAGGATATAAAAAAGCTGCACCTATAAATGCTTCTTGGTTGGTAACAATGAGAACTGTTTAGCTTCTTATTGCAAGAAATTACGACACAACATATTGCACAAGTGAATCAATATGCATATAACAGATCTATAATCCATGATGTTTGTGTATACCTTACCCGTCAGGATGATTACCCCAACAGTGCTGTCATCCCTGGCATCATTAAATGCTCGAATAAGCTCTTTAATAGTATTTGGTCGAAAAGCATTCCTTCTATCTGGGCGATTGATTGTGATCTGGAGACATGAAAGGAACTTTTACCAAATTGCGTACAAGGAAATTTATATAGTATAGCAGAAGCTGCAAAACATAGCTGCACTACAGCTGTGACTTTGTATCCCTATCATGCACAACAATCAAGTCGTCATTGGATACAGCTAGAGCCTTTCCAGGAAAAATGATTACCAAGAATAGATTCATCAGGTTTCATGTTCTATTGTTTACAATAAGTGTTGAGTATCTTCTAGGAATATCATTCCAAATTTAATCCAAAGATGAAAGTTAAATTATAAATGACATGTTGCATGCTAAAAAGAAAAGAAGAGAAACTACCCTTGTCAAAGCAGAGTATGAAATTGCCACGCTACATGTCCCGTCTCTTGATCCACTATATAAGAACAAACATGATCCTAATAAGATCTCCACAAAGGAGCTTATATAAGTTTCATGTGATCAATTTTTTTGGAAATTGCAAAATTCCATGCATCAAATAGGATGCAAATTACAGTTCCAGAAAGTATTTAAACAAGATGGTGTCATTAGAAATCACACTTGACATGGTTATTTAAAATCTAATAAAGGCTTTCAAAAGAATATGAACCCAAGTACATTCTTTGTACGTTCTACTGAGGATACTCTGGCTAATTTCTGGCATCCTAACAAAGTTTATTCCTTGTCTATATTTCCCTATCATATGACTTATACGACATCCGACAGAGTTTCCCGCAGCATGTGCTTTATCTTGCTTATAAAGACGAAGCAACACTGTTGCAATTTGTAAGGTAATGGTCATAAACTCTTGGCCATGAGGTTCCTTAAAGAGAATTTTACCAAGAACCCGAACAAACAGAATGGATCGCGAAAGACAAAAGTAGCTAAACCACCAACATTCCACAAGAAACCAACTTAACGATTTCAGTGCGCTCGTACCTTCGCAATTCCCTTTTTCTCTCAAAAGAAAAAGAAATTAAACTTTACCTTCGCAATTCCTTCTCCCACGGCTTTCTCATAGATAATGTCAGTGTACTCCTTTCCGGATTCATCGCACGCAGGTATCCACGTCGCCTCTCGCGTCGATACCTCGCCGTGTACGCGACGGTAGCTGTCGTTAGCGGAAGCAACCGATCGCTGGATCGGAAGCGGGCGAGGAGGAGGAGTAGCAAGAGGCAATAGATGGTGGGCGATTCTCGCTATTCTTCTCCCTGCGGTTCTGAGATCCTTACCCGAGACATCCGCCATTGAGGGATCTCGCGAAGAGCTCGGGAACCCACGGCGTACTATGGAGTCGTCGACGGAAGATTTCGAATAAGACGACGACCAGAAAGAGGGATAAGGCTTACGTGGGGCGTCGAGGGGTTTGCGATCGCTACTTTGACAATAACAGCCCGTTGTATCGTCACACGACGTGGGACGGTATGTTGAATCGTGGTAGGATCGGCCGACATAATCGAAATCAAATGGCATCGTTGATCAAAGGATTTATATTTTGTGACTTATGTGAATAAAAATATTTTCGGAAAAATAAAATCTTTTGGAAACCAAATTTTTTTTTGGTTGTCATGTCACAATCTTATAATATATAATGAGTCTTATGAAATATAATTATAATTAAAATCTTTTTAAAGTATATTTAAATCAATTTAAAATTAAATATTAATACACTTTTCTATGTAAGAGATCAAATAAAAATTAATACAACGTATGATGTCATTTTAATCCATCTAATTGATAAATCGAAACTACATCCTAGATATTGTTAAGATTATGCATTACATGGGTGAGCAATTATGTTAAATAAATAATTATTTTTACATCTCACTCGTCTTTATATATATATATATATATATATATATATATATATATATATATATATATATATATATATAAGGCAATGATAGAGACTCACACGAAAGGATAGACAATACCCTCGTGGCATGATCTAACCAAAGTTTTATGGTCCAATAACATCCGACTGCAATCAATGTTGGTCAAATCCAATCTAAGACCAATTGCACTTCCAGCGAGATTGTTGTCCCTCATTCTTCGTCGATCCTCGAGCTGGGGATGTTAATTAGCATTGATGAAGTAGATGGATAACGTAGTTGATCTAAGATGATGCCAGTGTGATCTCTTTGAAATAGTGAAGAAGAGAGCAACGAGTCTCTGGAGGAAAACAATGAAACGAGTTCTAAGGAGGACTTCTTGAAATCCGACAGTGACCTACAGCGGCCAATGGTACAATCATTAAGTTCTTCCCAGCCGCCACATCAATTCCTGCTACCTGTTCATTCTTTATAGCCTTGTACCATGGAGTGAACAAGGACAGAGGCCAAGATATAGCAGCAGAGATGGTGAACTGGGTGGAAGCACAGAAGCCTCTCTTGCACTGGCTGGCGCGGAGGGCCGGCCTCCGGCAGCAGACCGTCGAGCTGGAGCCCGGCACCGTCATAAGCTTCTGGGTTCCCAAGGCGAACGTAACCACCAAGAAGAAGAGCTGTGTCTGTAACAGTAGGAAGGAGGAGAAGAAGAAGAATAAGCCGGCGGTGGTGCTGGTGCATGGCTTCGCAACGGACGGGATCGTGACATGGCAATTCCAGGTTGGATCCCTGGCGGACCGATACGACGTCTACGTGCCGGACCTGTTCTTCTTCGGCGGGTCGGCGACCAACTTCCCGGACCGCTCGCCGGAGTTCCAGGCCGACTGCCTGGCGGCCGCGCTGGGCCGCCTCGGCGTGCAGCAGTGCACCATCGTGGGGTTCAGCTACGGCGGCGTGGTGTCGTTCAAGATGGCGGAGAGGTGGCCCGACCTGGTGCGCTACCTGGTCGTCTCGGGCTCCACGTTCGCCATGACCGATTCACTCAGCAGCGCGACGCACAAGAGGCTCGGCGTCTCGTCCTCGGCCGAGCTCCTTCTCCCGGAGTCCGTCGAGGGACTCAAAGCACTTCTTTCTGCGGCAACTTATAAGAAGCTCTGGTTACCAGACTGCTTTCACAAGGACTTCCTTGAGGTGTTTCTATATACGCATACACGCATCTCTCTTTGTGCGTTGCACTTGTCCCAGTAATTTGTTGTTGATGGTGTTCAGGTGATGTTCACGAACAGGAAGGAGAGGGCGGAGATGTTGGAGGCGTTGGTGATCAGCAGCCAGGAAGCCAGCGTCCCTCATCTCCAGCAGGAGGTGTAGACCTTTATATATAGTTCTTTCTGAAACACGATTAAAGTGGTGGTCACAGAAACCCAAAAAAGTACATCCTAAGGGAAAATATTCACCCAAATCTAAGGTTAACTCTTAAATGTGATGGGACACTGCCTCTCCAAACCTCAAGCCATTCCCTCTCACCATTTTCAGTATTTTGGGTTAGAGATGTTTGTAAGAGTACAAACCTAATAAATCATGCAGATATTCCAAAGTACAACAGTCACCCACAAGCAAAAGCTAATATATCTTAGCTCAAATTTGATCCAGTTTTATAAATATCCATCAATTTCTCGTCGTTCTCTTATCTCACACTGCCTTTATGATTTGGCTGCAGAGGATACTTCTACTGTGGGGAGAGAATGACAACATATTCAACCTAGAGCATGCTAAGAACATCAAAGAGTAAGCTACAAGTCATGGTAACACCACACCTAACCTTTCTCCAAGGGTATGCCACTGGGGACTTGGTTTGAGTTAGAGATGAATTCTAACAATTTCCAAGCCCACTCTTGAAGGCTTTCACTTGTTACCACACCTCTTTTTTGTTCAAGCAAAAAAATTTAGTGAGATTTGCTTTATATTCATTTATTAACCATTTTCGATCCTGAATGGATCATTCAAATATAAACAATCCTTATATTATCTTTTGCTTTCCAACATAACCTGTGATTACCGTGAACTCACATCCTATGACTATCAAATTTACAGGCAATTGGGAGAGAAGACCACCCTAAAAATCATAAAGAAAGCAGGCCACCTTGTTCACTTGGAGAGACCCTGCATTTACAACAGGTGTTTGAAGGAGTTCCTTGTGCTTGTCCATCCTGGGGTCAGCCAGAAATGATCAACTTCACCCACATCCATATTTCTACTCAAGGATCATGGACATGGGTCACATTATATTAGATTGATGATGAAGCTCATCTTCAGCCTCAAGGTTATTGCAGAAACCGTTTTATAATTTAGAAGCATATAGTTCACAATATATGCAAATTACAGAGGAATGTGAACTGAAGTGCGTCTTTGTCTCATCGTTCATCTAAAAGACTCTCGCTCTCCTTTGTATACTTTATATAATTCGAAATAATAAATACATGTCACTGTCTCAATGTTCATGTATCATTGAGTTAAGACTGTTATACGATTCTTCTAAATATACTTTCCTAGAAACTTAAGATCTTGAAATTGTTGATCATTTAGCTTAAAAATCTTTATCATTGTTTGGGAGAAGGCGAAGTGGGGGTGGGGGAGAGGCTGATAGATGAGGTGGAATAGGTGGAGATGAAGGAGAGGGCGGACGCCATATGGGAGACCGGAAGCAATGCAAGATGAGGCGATGGAATAGGTAAGCTTGGGGAGTAATGCTATTACTATTTATAGGTAAAGAGAGAGACATATATATAGAGATAAAGTTAGGCTACCCATTGGCGCGAAATGCAAAGACCAAACATGTGGTGGTAATTAGCATAATTACAAGATTGGATAACTTAGTTTGTACTAAAAACAATAAATTTGAAAATTAAGAAAAAATAATAATTTTTTAGAACCTCCTAATTAAGTGAAAGCATATGGAGATGCTTTTGCAATTAAGGGTTAGGTTAATTGTGAATTTGCGGAAATAATCGATCGGCGGAGGAGGAAGAGGCAAGAGGTGGTGGGTGATTCTCGATATTCTTCTCTATGCAGTTTTGAGATCCTTACCCGAGACATCTGTCATTTGAAGGAGCTCAGGAATCCATTGTGTCTTATGGAGTCATCCATGCAAGATTTCAAATAAGACGAGAAGGAGAAAGATGGATACGATTTTGTTGGGGGTATACAGGGCTTTACGACCGCTACATTAATAATAACAGTCTATTATATCATAACACGACGTGGGATGATATATTGAGTCAGGATCGTCTGACATAATCTAAATCGAATAGCATCATCGATCGAAGGATTTATGTGATTTCCTTCGCTGAGAAAGAAAGAAATGTAATAAGAGAAGAAGTGTGGAACAGAGGACTTCCTAAATTAATAATATGTTCTGGTCCTAATTTAATTATATATTACCAGATCAAATTTTTTTTTATTGCCTTGTGACAATATATAGAGATAAAGTTAGGTTACCCGAATAATATTTCATGAATCTTAGGAAATATAATAATATTTTTTTATTGCCATGTGACAATCTGATAATATTTCATGAATATTAGGAAAGATAATAATAATTAAAATATTCCAAATTATAAGAGATTAAATAATAATTAAAATAATATAATCTTGATGTCATTTTAATCGACATAATTGAAAAATAAAAGACTGGGACTAAATAAAATTTATAATATATGGCTGATAATAAAATTAATTTTAAAATATTTGAAACTTCTGTTGGTGAAATCGACTCAAACACAAAAGTTCTCTTCTTACCATTAGTTACATCCTAAGAAGTCAAAATCAAGTTGAACATCCTCTAAAATAATTGCATAGCAATTAATATTTAGCTCAATATCAAGATAGCTTGATCATAATCTTTTAGCAGCTTATCTCTGTTTTCTTCTTCCTTATATGTGCTTTATAATTTTTTTTTGTAATTTTAACTAAATTTGAATTATTTTTTTTAGTAAGTTTTTAGTAGACAGTATGTTCCTCTCTCTCTCTCTCTCTCTCTCTCTCTCTCTCTCTCTCTCTCTCT